TGAGTTCTATTACTCAAAAGTGGAAGGGTGGTAAAAAAGAGCTCCTAATGTGTGTTTATGGGATAGGATTCCATGTTCTATTTTCCTTAGCTCCTGTTTCCCACTAATTCACTTCCCAACTGCTATTCCATGACACTTCTTTTTTCCTAGATATTATGTCTGGGAAAGAAAGTTACAAATTCAAATTCAAATCTGATGCTGAGTATAGCTCCCACCTGGAGTTTTAGAATACATTTGAATGTATCACAGAGTTTTGAGTAGATCACTGGAAGTCTCTCATTTTGTTTCAGACAGCAATTCACAGGCTCCTTCTGGTATTAGAACATTCTGCTACCAACCCTCCTGGCACCCCTCACCCAGAGCCTCATGCTTGCTAAGCATACACATTCATCTCCTGACATACCAATGATGCACAGAAGAGCATTCTGTGGGACAGCCATCTGCACAACAGTGTACCACACTAATAAGGCTGAGACATGAATTTAGATATTTCTGACATCCACCATAGTCAGTAATAGGCAAAAAAAAAAAAAAAAAAATCCAAAAAACAGCAACAAAAAAAACCCCCAAGTAATCAAAGGTACCCTTCTTGCCTCTAAAAGCTGCATAAACAGTAACTTTTCAGCTTGGGGCTCTGTGTTGCTCTATACATGGTAAAACTGTCCTTCACCTTGACATCCCAGCATGGACAGAAACAAGCAGATGTACTCAATGCATCCACTGCTCACTGTGAAAGCTAGAGGCTGTCTGGCCTTGCAAACAAATACAAACATGAGAAACGCATTTTCCTTCTTGCTGGGCTTTGAGCCTGTCATTCTTGCTGCTGAGTGGCCTGAGGAGAACCAAAAAGCTAACAAAGTATGTGACTTTTGTTTATGGGTTTCTGTATCTTGCTCGGTTGATGCAGCAGGTATTAATCTGATTGATGCACAGCTGGCGGGGGGGGGGGGGGGGTCCTCCCTAAGGATGGCAGAAGAATAGATCACTGCCAATCTTGCCAGACACCCTAGAGAGAAAACAATGATTTTTTGCAAAGAAATATTTTTTTCTTTCTTACAGGGCATTGCTCCTTGCTGCTATTGGTGAAAACAGGCTCAGTGTTCTACCCAATCTGCAGGGAGAAAATATTGACACTTCTCTTTCTCTCCTTCAGTATAGTTGGCACTCCTTTATTCAATATTATTTATGTACTTATTTGCTTGGATTTCTTTTCAGGGGTAGGGGGAAGTAGTGGAGTTTGAGCTCAGGGACTGAGCTTTGTTAGGCAGGTGTTCTACCACTTGAGCCATTCTTTGTTCCCCCTGTCTCTTTGCTTTAGTTATTTCACAAATAGCATCTACAAACCACACTTCAATTGGTGGCCAATGTCTTTTTTTTTTTTTTTTTTTGGTAAGTTGTGGGGCTTGAACTTGGCCTGAGGACTATCCCTCAGCTCTAAACTCAAGGCAAGCACTCTACCACTTGAACCACAGCACCACTTCTGGTTTTCTGGTGGTTTATTTGAGATAACAGTGTCATGGACTTTCCTGCATGGGCTGGCTTTGAACTGTGATCTTCAGATCTGAGCTTCCTGAGTAACTTAGGGTTAGAGGCATGAGCCATCGGTGCCTGGCTTTGATCTTTTTTTTTTTTTTTTTTTTTTTAAATGGTGCTCAGAATCGAACCTAGGACCTTATGGTAGAGCAAATGCTCTACCAGTGAACTATATACCCAGCCCCTGGGTTTTTGAGAAAGGGTCTTGCTAGGCAGCCCAAGCTGGCCTCAAACTTGTGATCCTCCTGTCTCAGTATCATGAGTGCTGAGATTACAGGTACATTCTGTAACCGCTCCCAGCTCTTTGATCTTTTCTTAGCGCATATTAATTGTGGAAAAATACTGGACTGCCTGATGACATTTCATCCATGAATGTAACAGGCTTTGATCCTACCTCATTCTTTCTCTTGTCTTCTCTTCTGCTCTCTCCCTCTTTCCTAACAGTCCCCCTCCTACTTTCAAGTCTTTTTAAAATCTAGATACCACATGTGAGAGAGAGTATGCTATTATTTGTCCTCATCCAGCTTATTATGCTTAAAATGACAGGCTCTAATTCCATTTATTTTTCTGCAAATGGTATCATTTTAACTTTATAGCTAAATAAAACTCTACTGTGTATATATACCACATTTTCTTTGTCAATCTTTTTAAAATCTGAAATAATCTCCCAGCTGTTTTTGTGTCTTCCTAGACACTTTTTTTTAAGATGCTAGGAAGAAGTACTACATTAAGTGCTATCTGTGTGTACTGCTGATGGCATCACCTGGAGGCACACACTGCAGGTTGTTACATAGTGATATGTTAATCACCTGATGAAGGTGGTAGCCTCCCCCCCCTCGCACGCTCTCTCTCTCTCTCTCTCTCTCTCTCTCTCTCTCTCTCTCGCCTGCCAGTACTAGGGCTTGACTCAGGGTCTTTGGGTCTTGCTTGGCTTTTTCACTCAAGGTTGGTACTCTACCACTTGAGCCACACCTTCTGGCTTTTTTCTGGTTAACTGAAGATAAATGGCTCAGATTTTTCTGCCCAGGCTGGCTTCAAACCAGGATCCTCAGATCTCAGCCTTCTCAGTAGCTAGGATTACAGTTGTGAGCCACCCAGTACCTGGCTTGCTTTCCCTTATTTTTTAAATAGAGTCTCAGGCTTTTTGCTTAGGTTAGCCTTAGATCTTGATCCTCCTACCTATTCCTCCCTCCTAGCTGAGATTATAGACATGCCCACTCATTTACAGCAAATTTTGTAAGGATAGGGCCTCACTAATTATTGCCCTGCCTGGCTTCAAACTACCATGTTCCCCTCATTATCTGCCTCTCAAGTATCTGGGATGATAAATACAAATCAATAAGCCTGACCTCATATATATATAGGCACAACTCTATCAGTTGATACTTTCTTGCTTTCTATCTCAGCTAGGAGCTCAGACTCATCTAGTACTTTCTTCTACCCTAGACCTGTAGTCAGCTATTCCTCCAGGTGGCAGGGTTCCTCTTACTAGGGCAGAGCATTTATGAGGAACAACTCTGCTGGTGTCGTCTGTGTGCTACTCTCTAAAGCCAGCTCTCACATCTGTCCCCAAAGCAACAAGATCAAAGCAAATCTCTTTGGAAGGAGGTGGGGACAATCACAAATTCTTCATTGTGGTGAATTTATGATGATCTAAATCTTCAAGATTTTTAAAAATGTGTCAAGTTACATTTCCCCCACTTTTTTCTGTTGTCTACTGTTTCAGTATAAGAATGTACATTGAATACTGAATTTTATCAATGTATTATCTTTCACCCTTCCAACTTCCTGTCGCCCATACTTCTACATGCTCTAAATGCACTCTCACTTCTGCTTCTCTCTTTTTCTTATATAAGAAAAAAAAAATCCATCTTAGCCAGCTGCTGGTGGCTCACTCCTATAATCCTAGCTACTCGGAAGGCTAAGATCTGAGGATTGCTATTTCAAGTTAGCCCAGGCAGGACAATCCATGAGACTCTTATGTTCAGTTAACCACTAAAAAGCTATGGCTCAAGTGGTAGAGTGCTAGCCTTGAGTAAAAAAGCTAAGGCACAGTGCCCAGGCTCCAAGTTCAAGTCCCATGAGTAGCACGTGTACATGCACGCATGCATGTGCATGCACACACACACACACACACACACACACACACACACACACACACAAATCAGGTGTAAAAACTGTTTTATGGGTTTGGAGGCATGGCTCAGTTGGTAGAATGCTAGCCAATGAACGAAAACTTCAAGTACTGAGTTCAAGTCACAGTATCTAACCCCCCCAAAAGAAGAAACAACCCAGCTTTTTTGTGATTATGATAGTAAAAACATTTATATGTGTGCCAAAACTCAAGACTATATACAAAAGAGTAAACTTTAGTATACGTACATTATACCTGGGGGGAAAAAAGTCAAAATTCTAAATACCCTGCTGTTTTCTTCTCTCACATGAGGTCTTACTTATTTTGATTTGCAATTTCTGCAAAGTGCATTTCTAGTCTAAATAATAGATTTTTCAGAAATTTTATGTATTTCTTCATTGAAGGCAACACATTCTAGGGTTTGATTCCCTTAAAAAGCATTAGGGTTTGGACTTTTCAGACTAGTCAACATAATGAATGCATTCTTCACAGCTTATCAATTCCCACAACATAAAATGCAAAATCAAAGTGATGGAATCTAGAATAAGGAGGAATTCAGGGCTGGGAAGGTGGCTCAGTGGTAGAGCGCTTGCCTTGCATGCATGAGGCCCTGGATTCAATTCCTCAGCACCACATAAGAAAAAAGAAAAAAAAAAAGCTGGAAGTGGTGCTGTGGCTCAAGTGGTAGAGCGCTAGCCTTGAGCTGAAGAGCTGAGGGACAGCGCCCAGGCCCAGAGTTCAGGCCCCATGACCAACAAAAAAAAAAAAGAAAGAAAGAAAGAAAGAAAAAAGAACTTAAAATAATCTATTTGGATATGCATAATATATAGACGTATATATATTATGCAACATTGTAGCGAGTTAGTTAATAGAAGGCAAGTTAATTTTTTTGCTTTTGTTTCATTCTGTGTATTTTTCACAATGAAATATTAGTTTTATAATTAGGCAAGTAGCACTATTAATATTTAATACTTAATTATGTAATAAAACACTTAAATATCATACTTAAAAAATACTTAAAAAAAACCAAAACAGTGGTTCACAAGGACAGGAGGAAAATAAGGGACCAAAGGAAGGAGATGAGAAGAAAATAATATTATGAAAACATGATCTATCACTGATAGGAATTTTCAAAGTAAAACATCTTCCAGAGTTGGGAATCTTGCAGATTTATTCAGGAAATTAAAAATATTTTCCTTGTGAAGCTTCTCTGAATGTCCCAGAAGATTTCAACCTAACAGTAAACTCTAACATGGATCTGGTTGTACTTCCAGACAGTATTTGTCCAAATGAGGAATTTTATACCAGATTATGAAATACTATAAATTCATACCTTGAAGAACGATGCTCTGGTTTATTTCGTTCGTTGCGATCTGTCAAGAGAGAAGATAGTTACACGTCAAAATGTGCTTTAGGAACTATGGAAAAGTTTTTTTTTTCTTTCATGTTTTAAAAATTGATTTAAAATCGATGTATAGAGCTACATAAGTGCCCAGGCCCTGAGTTCAAGCCCCAGGAATGGCAAAAACAAAACAAAACAAAAAAACCCAATACATTTCCTTTTGAACAATGTCACCCCTTCCCTCAATCCCTCCCAGTTTTTCCCTCCCCAAAAGAAGTTCTACAATGCCAGCTATCAAACCATTAGTGTTCTCCAGGGCTGTTCAAGGTAGTGGGTATGCCCTACAGCCCTCTTCCTCAGGGGTGAGAGCATTTGCTGGACAGGGAGGTACAGGCACACAACAAAGATCAGGCAGAAAGACTTCCCATGCTTTGTTAAAACTGTCTACTGGGAAAAATGTATCCTTATATGTATTATTTTGTTTTAAGAGAGCTCCACTGTGTTAAACACTTTGCTAAAACCAAAACACATTTAGCTAAAGAAAGAAAATAAAGAAATTGAAGAGCCACAGATTTCTTAGCTCAAAAAAAGTCATTCCATGAATCATGGTTGGCAGAAGCTTCTAAGAGAATAGTGAGGGGGAGAAATGAGCAATGGTCTACATCTGCAAATACACTAGAGTATGGCCTCCTCCTTAACTCTTCAGTGCCTAGAATAATCCAGAAGCCACATTTCAATGTTTCACCAATGGTAAAGTATAATGTACTTCTTGGTTGTCCCAAGTGGGGAGGAAGGAGCTCTAGTGGTTAAGAGACCAGAGATAGAGACTAAAGGTCCTACGATGCACAAAAAGAATTTTCTAGAACAAAGTGCCAAGAGTGCCAAGGTTGAGAAATCCAACTACAGGATAACAATCAAGAGCAGAGCTGTCTCAAGTATGCAAGGAATCCTCTGGCTGCAAATGAAAGTACATGGCACCAATCTGAAGACTATCACATACAAGGGAACCACCAAATCCCTGAGTAGCCATTTTTCAAATGGGAGGCACACTTTTCCCCAGTAGATGCTTAAAAATAGAAAATAAATGAAACTGAAAAAACCTCAGTGTTAGGGAAAATTTAACAACAGAAAGCAGTATATAAACCATAATGCAGTCTTATATGATTACTTTAAAAAATTTTATGAATCTCTTTAAACAATTAACATATTTAAACAAAAAAGAACATTAAGAAATTGTAACATGTCTAAGATGAAGGCATTAGTGGAAGGGAGCAGACAAATGGGGAGATAAATGGGAGGGGAGATAAATACAGATAAAACACTCCATATACATGTGTGAAATGGAACAAAGAGATTTGATGAGACTAGTTTGGGAAATGGTGTGTGTGTGGAAATGGTAAAAGGGTCATTATGATCAAGACTATACACACAAATAAAATTGTTAAAATGCAACTAGTTGATGTCAAATAAAAAGAGGAAAAGAGCCAGGTACCAGTGGCTCACGCCTATAATCCTCGCTACTCAGGAGGCTGAGATTTCAGTTAGAAACCAGCCTTGGCAAGAAGTCCATAAGACTCTAGTCTGTAATTAAGGACCAAAAAAGCCAGAAGTGATAGAGTGCTAGTCTTATGCAAAAAGCTCAGGGATAGTGGCCAGACCTTGAGTTCAAGAATTGGGACAGTGCAAGCATGTGCATGGGCGCACACACACAAACACAAACACACACAAACACACATACACACACACACACACAGAGAAAAGGAATAAGAAAAATAAAATCCTATGAATAGCATCAAAATACAGTTTCCTAAAGTATTTACTCGAATGCTAACAAGATAGAATTAAACACAAAACAAAGACAAAGCAGGAATTTTTTTTCCTCTGTAATCTCTAGAAAACTTTAGAACTTCCAAAGAGAAATATGCAGGAAGGAACAGGTTTTCACACTTAAATGGATGCACAAGACCTTATGAACGAGTTAAATTTTTAAAAAAATGAATGAGTTTGGAAGCCAAAGAACACACTAAAACATGGATTTCTGAAAGATTAACAAGTAAATAGATTCACAATGCAACACATTTATATTGTCCAAAGACACAGAGCTAATGTTTCAGGCTCTAATTTCAACACCTGATATAATGTTACTAGACCTTATAAAACTTTTGTCTTAATTTAACTTGGTCTCACCCTTTCCTTACATAAAAATACCATGGTTTTTACTTGTTGAGTGTAAAATACCTAGTAATAAGAGGAGGAAGGTATTTTAATCATTAAAAAAAATCGTTTCTCTGTGGCTTTTAATCTACTAGCTTTGCGAAGGAAAAAAAAAAAGAAGCAGCAGCAGCAAGGAACTGGGTAGAAATCAATTTAGCCTCTAATCACAAAGCAGAATCTCTTACCTGTGGCTAAAGATGAACTAAAACTGCCCAGAACATCATTTGCTGCGCTGTGTCCCTGTTTCGTAGTTTATTTAGGCCTGTATTCGAGTTCCCTCACTCAGCTTCCCGTTGCTCCACACAGGAGGAGGGAGACACAGAGTCAGGATGTGATTGATGCTGGTAAACAAGCTCCGCATCCAGCTTTCGCACTGATTGGCTGATGGGCTCTGACCAGCCAGCACAGCTGGAAGGGGTCCACCAGGAAGTCAGTGGCTCTCTGCACTCTCTCCTTGGTTCAAACAGAAAATTCTACAGTCATTTTGATACTTTCTGTTCTAAGAAAATAAAAGTGCCTTTCCACAGTTTTACCCTACTGTACTAGTAAGCAAAATCTTATAAAAATAACTTGATTAACTGAGGATATTGAAGCATTTCCCTGTAAACTCAGACTTAGTGTTATGTGGTGGATTCCTAACTAAATATGATTGTGTGGTGTTTATAACCGTTACCCCAGAAACCCACAGAGTGGATGCTTTGTGGGTAAGGATAAATTATCCATTAAGATATTCCCTATCCTCCAGCTCTTGACAACGGGAAACAAATGAAAACACATGTTCTCAGCATGACCTTTTCCTCAAAGCATACAAATAATGGGCCTCACATTTTGATGTAGCGCCACCTTTCAATTTGAGGGTCTAGGGTGAGTGGATGCGTGTATGTCTGGTATGTCTGTGTGGTGTGAATCTGCATGTCTCATGCTTTAAAAAAGGTACTCATCACAGAGATGCTATATTTTTCTTGTATTCATGATAGCTAACAATGTTGTAGAATTGTCAAGAAATACAAACATTAGTGGAAATGCAAAAATTCTGGCAAAAAATAGTAAGTACGATTATTTTGGTTCCAATGCTGACATTAACAGAACACATCACTGAGACCACATTTGGGCTGTGTCTTGCCAACGACAGCAAAACATTTGGATGAAATCCCTTAAGAACAATGAGAACATATCGATGACAAACATGGAAATTTCATCTTGGCTTACACAAGTGCTGGGAGGGTAGAGATTTTATTTACTGCAAATCAAATGCTTTTTAGTGGTTAGTATGTCTAATTTTTAAATAATTAGAGAAGAATATATTAGTAGAGACTCTTTGAACTTTTGCATATTTAGAAATCACGAGTTACTGTCTCAAAGGTTCTGGGAAAAAACAAGAAAGTTTTTTTTTTCTTTTAAAATAATTTATATAGTCCTAGAGGCTCATGCCTCTAGTCCTAGCTACTCAGGAGACTGAGATCCAAGGATCACGGTTCAAAGTCAGCCTGAGCAGAAAAGTTCACAAGACTTCTCTCCAATTAACCATCCCCCAAAAAAGCCAGAAGTAGAGCTGTGGCTCAAGTGGTAGAGTGTCAGTTCTGAACATAAAAGCTCAGAGACAGCACCCAGGCCCTGAGTTCAAACCCTAGGACTGGCACACAGGCACAGGCACAGGCACACGCACACGCACACACACACACACACACACACACACACACACACACACACAAGTAATTTCTATGAAAAACATTTTTAGGAAAATTTTTAATAGAAATATAAAAAAAGAATTTTTAACTGGAAGAATGGTAATGCATGCCTTTAATTTCAGCACTTGGAAGCTGAAGCAGGAAGTTCATGACTTTGAGGCCAGCCTAGACCATATAGCAAGACTGTCTCAAAAAAAAAAAAGGTTATTAAAAGTAAAATGCCTTAACTTTAAAATTTATCTGCCAAATGCTGCACATCAAGAATGAAATCCAGGGCTGGAAAGGTGGCTCAGTGGTAGAGCGCTTGCCTTGCATGCCTGAGGCTTTGGGTTCAATTCCTCAGCACCACATAAGCAAAAAGAAAAAACCCGGAAGTGGCGCTGTGACTCAAGTAGTAGAGTGCTAGCCTTGAGCTGAAGAGCTGAGGGACAGTGCCCAGGCCCAGAGTTCAGGCCCCACGACCGGACCCAAAAAAAAAAAAGAATGAAGTCCAGGGACCCACCACTCTGGGCATTAGGGCTGAGGTCACTCAAAGGCCAACAGTGCATTCTTACAAGCCAGGCTGGACATCCCAGATGGACAGACAACTAATGTGTAGTTCTACCATACCTAACACACCTGTGTATACACAGACATCTTCTTGCCAATGCCACTCAGCCAGGCCATTTCCTAACTGAGGAAGTGGAAGAATGCTGAGCTGCTGGGAAGGATGTCCGTGGCTGTGTGAGATTAAATATTGTGGGGAGATTAGGGATGGCAGTTGGGGAACCCACAGTACAAGACAGGGACTGGAAGTAGTAGGGAGCTTCCAGAGGTTCAAGATTTTCTCTCCATTTTCACTTCAGATTCTGGAGCTTAGGTGTTATACCACATATGCAAAAATGGGCTCTGCTCTGGTAAAGGCAGCTTAATAAACATGGTGCACAGATCTGGAATCTGGCCTGAAATCATTCTGGCCGAATCTAACACCATCAAATACCTTGAAATGGAGATAACACAAATGCGAATGTCATCTTGTGCTCTGATGAAAACTAAGAAGAACGTCCAACTTGGAACCTATCAGAAGCTTTGAAGACCACTCAGGGGAAGACAAAATCAAACCTCACTGGGTAGGGTCTGACTGACTTTG